ATTCTTTTTATCTACATGCTTGATACGATGAAGAGGCAGGTGCAAAGCAAGCTTTCCAACACTGTCTGCAGCAGTAATCCCCACCTTGCCATAGCCTAACCACCTGCCCTTCAGGCACAGAGATAATTCAGTCTCCAAGTTAGTTCAGTCCTAAGTATCTCCTGAGTAAAGACTGATAAATGAGCCAAATTGCAGCCTGATTAGGGGTTGTGTCAATACATCAATATTTGATCACTGACAGTGGCTCCTTGCTTAGTTCCCCCCAGAACATGAAGTTGAACTTTAAATAGCCTAAATAGATTTAATATATCTGTAAATTATAATGGGTCCCCTCCTCCCCCCCAAAAAATCTCATTGAAACCAGTAGATAAGTTCCCAATGGCCTTTGGATCAGGCCCCGAGTTACCACCTTCTGATATAAAATATTACTAGAGTTTGGACATTCAAAAGTTTGATAGGTGTTTGTGCTTGTATTTGAGCCTCCAGTTTGAAACCCAATCACATTTCATCCAGATTTTGACCTTTGGCACTATGGACTTGGTCATTTTCATGATAGAATTATTCATTTACACAGTAAAATAGGGTCACACTGTTTAAAAACAGTCAGCTCCATAATGTTTCACTGGGCTGCTGGAAGACATTGCAAGCAAAACATGCAAAGGTATGAAAAAATGAAAGTTCCTTTTCCGGAGCTTAAAACGGAACAGAACTGCCTTAATAAAGATTTAATACAGGGATAGAACAAGATTTTGCTTCATTTCTTATTTTCTCTAAATCATTTTTACCTATCCCTGGATGATAGAAATTTACCATATGGCACCATCATGTCTGTAAGACGCTGATCTATGATAGTGGTACTTCTGAAATAAAAATTCAACTGCATGGAGTGTCACTGGGCCCTAATCCTAGCTACAGTTCTGGTTAAAGCTTGTGTCAGCAGTGCTCCAACATCCTTGAGAAATTCCTTTAACTCCCTTAAACACAATTATGCTTATGGTTTTTATATGACTTTTTCTTATGAAAAGTCACAGCTGAACATCACTCGAAAGTAAAGTACTCTGTACAGAGAATGGATTCAGAGGCTCTCTCATCTATTCATTTGATTTGAAGGGTAGCTTTTCATCAACAGAGCTTGGGGACCCTTCTCCATCATCCCGTGTCTCCATTCCATAGAAGACACTTCTGGGAGCTATCTAGTATCCAGGGGGAACAGTCAGGAGTCACTGCCAGAGATGGAAGGGTCAAAGACTGGCTAAGGGGGCTCTTGCCCATTCTCCCAGAAGACACTGTCAGACGCCACTCTTCTATCAGTGAGCGGTTAGAAGGAGCAGCACAGAGTCCCTGCTAGAAACTGCAGGAGCCAGCAGGGCCGGACAAAGGGGTGGGCATGCCGGGCAGCTGCCCGGGGCGCTAACTGATGAGGGGCACCTGATGGCAGCTGTAAGAGGCATGCGGCGTCCCTTACAGATGCCATCAGGAGCTGCGCGCCCGGCTCCCGCAGCACCGGCCCCATGGTGCCGTCCAGTAGCACCCTTCCCCCCATGGCTGCGGGGCCCTACACGGCCCGGCGCCCACATCATCAGCACTGGCCAGGCCAGGCTGGGCAGCGCATGAGCCAAGTGCCCTGGAGGTGGGACCCGGGCTGCATGCCAGCGGCCGTGGCCAGCGCACGCATGTGCCGTGCGCCCCGGGGGACGGGCCTGTGCACCCTGGGGGGTGGGCCCACGCCCCAAGGGTGGGCCTGCTCATGAGCCCTGCGCTCGGGGATGGCGCCGCGCACCTGGGCCCAGGGTGTCAAAAGGGCTCAGGCCAGCCCTGGGAGGCAGGGTTTTGTCAAGCCAGGACTTAAAAACCTTTAGGGATGGAGTTTCAACCACTTCCCTAGGTAACCCATTCCAACTTCACCACCCTCCCAGTAAAATAGTTTTTCCTAATATCCAACTTAGACCTGCCGCATTGCTCCTGTTCTGTTGTCTGTCACTACTTGTAACTGTGCCGTATGATATAGATGTAGAAGGCCTCTAAGAAGATGACATTCTCTTTCATAGAACCATAGAAGACTAGGGTTGGAAGAGACCTCAGGAAGTCATATCGTCTAACTTCCTACTCAAAGCAGGAGCAACCCAACTAAATCATTCCAGCCAGGGCTTTCTCAAGCCTAGCCTTAAACACCCTACAATTCCACCACCTCCCTTGGCAACCAATTCCAGTGCCTCACTACCCTCCCAGTGAAATAGTTTTTCCTAATACCCAACCTAGACCTCCCCCACTGCAACTTGAGCCCATTGCTCCTTGTTCTGTCATCTGTCACTAATGAGAACAGCCTCTCTCCATCCTCTCTGGAACCTCCCTTTAGGTAGTTGAAGGCTGCTATCAAATCCTCCCTCACTCTTTTCTTCTGCAGACTAAACAAGCCTAACTCCCTCAGCCTCTCCTCGTAGGTCATGTGCTCCAGCCCCCTAATTATTTTGATTGCCCTCCACTGGACCCTCTCCAATGCGGCCACATCCTTTTTGTAGCGGGGGGCCCAGAATTGGATGCAGTACTCCAGATGTTTCCTTACCAGTGCTGAATAAAGGGGAATAATCACTTCCCTAAATCTGCTGGCGATGCTCCTCCTAATGCACCCTAATATGCCTAATTACTCTTCTTGGCTACAAGGGCAGACTGTTGACTCATATCCAGCTTCTCATCCACTATAATCCCTAAGTCCCTTTCTGATTAACTTCTACTTAGCCAGTTGGTCCCAATCTGTAACAATGCTTGGGATTCTTTTGTCCCAAGTTCATGACACTGCATGTGTCCTTGTTGAACCTCATGAGATTTCTTTTGGCTTAATCCTCTAATTTGTTTAGGTCACTCAGGACCCTATTCTCACCGTCCAATGTATCTATATCTCCCCTTAGCTGAGTGTCATCTGCAAACTTGCTGAGGGTGCAATCCATCCCCTCATCCAGGTCATTAATAAAGATGTTGAACAAAACCAGGTAAAGAACCAACCTTTGGTGCACTCCATTCAATACTAACCACCAACCAGCCATTGAACCATTCATCACTACCCATTGAACCTGACAATCCAGACAGCTTTCTATCAACCCGACAATCCATTTATCCAATCCATACTTCCTTTACTTGCTAGCAAGAATACTGTGGGAGACTGCATCAAAAGCCTTGGTAAAGTCAAGGTATATCACATCCACCAACTTCCCCATGTCCACAGAGCCAGCTACCTTGTCATAGAAGGCAATCAGGTTGGTCAGGCATGACTTGCCCTTGATGAAGCCATATTGACTATTCCTAATCACTTTCCTCTCTTCCAAGTGCTTCAGAATGGATTCCTTGAGGATCCTCTCCATGATTTTTCTTGTGACTGAGGTGAGGCTGGCTGGTCTGTAGTTTCCTGGATTGTCCTTCTTTCCTTTTAAAAAGATGAGCACTACATTTGCCTTTTCCAATCTTCGGGGACCTCTCCCAATCTCCATGAGTTTTCTAAGATAATGGTCAAAGGCTCTGCAATGACAACTCCCTCAGTACCCTCAGATACATTAAATCTGGACCCATGGATTTGTGTATGTCCAACTTTTCTAAATAGATCTTAACCTCTTCTTTCTCCACCAAAAGCTGCCCACCTCCTTTCCATACTGTGTTGCCTAATGCAGTAGTCTGGGAGGTGACCTTGTCTGTGAAGACAGAGGCAAAAAAAGCATAGTGTACTTCAGCTTTTTCCACATTATCTGTCACTAGGTTACCTCCCCTCATCCAGAAAGGGCCCCACATCCTCCCTGACCACCCTCGTATTGCAACATGCCTGTAGAAACCTCTCTTGTTACCTTTCACATCCCTTGCTAACTGAAATTCCAATTGATCTTTGGCCTTCCTGATTACACCCCTGCATGCTCAAGCAAAATATTTATACTCCTCCCTGGTCATCTGTCCAAGTTTCCATTTCTTATAAGCTTCCTTTTTGTGTTTAAGCTCACCAAGGATTTCACTTCTAAGCCAAGCTGGTTGCCTACTGTATTTGCTTTTCTTACTGTGCATCAGGATGGTTTGTTCCTGTGCTTTCAGCCAGCTTTAGAAAGTAGCAAGCTTTTGACATGTTGCATATTTGTTGTTAACCTGACTAATTTTGCTCTTTCTTGCCTTGGCTATACTGAGAGTTACTGGGTGGCAAACTGGAGTGCAAATCTATAGCATATTAGCTTGCTGCTCACTGGCTGGATGTGGGCACCCTTCTCCCACACAGTGAAAAATTTTGTAGTATGTTTTGATCTTCTCCTGCTTGTAACAACCATAGAACAAAGTGCATGACAGAGCTTATTTTTTTTAATGCATAGTGGTAGGGCCCATGCAGCCAGTGAGCATGCAGAAAGCTAGTGTGCTGTGCATTTATTTCCCAGCTTGCTACACACTATGGGTATGTCTACACTACCCTCCTAGTTCGAACTAGGAGGGTAATGTATGCATACCGCACTTGCTAATGAAGCCCGGGATACACGGGGTTCGAAGCAGCGGGGATTGCTTCGAACCCCGTGTATCCCGGGCTTCATTAGCTCTGAGGGTATGTCTACACTACCCCGCTAGTTCGAACTAGCGGGGTAGTGTAGACATACCCTAACTCTCCATGTAGACAAACTCCCTGTTTCTATACTTTTTCCTTTTCTATGTAGACTGTAAGTTCTTTGTGGGGCAGAAACAGTCTCACTTTACAGAACATTTAGGCCTCACTCCAATTTGGAGATTGTAGGCTATATTGTAATATAAATATAAATGTGAATGTTCAAGTGCATGGAGGGTCCAAGCTTGGAAGACCACAAGTGACTAGGAGTTCCCCATACTGAAGTTGTCATATTCTTCTATAACCAGAACAACTACATTAGGCCATAAATATTTTAGCATTTTTAAGGGAAAAAATATTTTAGCATTTTTAAGGGGAAAAACGCACACATAGAACTGATAACTACAATGAAACAGTTACTGTTATGTCATGATGGGTTTATTTTAATACACTGTGACCCAGCTTCTCACAAAGTGCTCTGAATTGAATTCCCAGGTGAGTTAGGATCATGTTTGAATACTGCATGCCTGTGATTTAAACAAACAGCTGTTATAGTCATTAGAAACAAATCTACTCAACTGGAAGGTATTAACTTTCTAAATTGCACAAACAATGTTTGTTCAGAATTTGATTCACTTACATGCGCTTGAATGTCAGTTCGCTATCTGTGATCTAATAAGCTCTTGCCGCAGTTTACAATAATGCAATAAAATATTGATTTACCTGTTTTCACATTGCATTGATCAACTGAACATATAATTAAGTCATCCTATCACTTTCCTGTAGTGCAAGTGAATTATTTTATTATTACTTAAACAGTCTAGATAGGTATTTAAAGCTTAAGCCAATGAGGAGTGCAAGTCCCAGTCATGTTTCCAGGCAATAAATATACCAACTTCAGTATGTATTTGCTGCATTCTCATTAAGGTTGGCAGGCATGCACAACAATATGTGTAAGGTCCAAATATACATTGCCAGGGCCTTAGCTGGTACAGTACTTTGTTTTCCACCAGCTGAGGATTTGGTCCAGAGTGCTTTGCATTAGGTATCTCAGCAATCTCCTTTTGAAGGACCTGTGACTGCTACAAAAAACACAGTGAAAATCATTTGCTACAGCTTATATTAGTAAATCAAAACTCCCACTGAAGACAAAGCAAAGATTCTATAGGAGTCAACTGTAAGGTCTTACAGGCTGCTGTACATGACATCAACTTCCCCCCTCCCGCCCCATGAGACAACATCCTTGCAAGTCCACTGGGATCAGCTATTGTTGGATATATTTTCTTCCTTTTGACTCTTTTAGGCAGATCAAGGTTCCTTTGGTGGCTGACTACCCAGAATCAGATGTCGTTTATCTCACTTCACCCAATAATAGTTTAACAATATCATTTCAAAATGTTTCTGATCAGATTGAAAAGGCAAAATTAATACTTTGTGCTTCCCGCCTGTTTCTTACCACGTACCAGAAATAACCAGTTGATGTGCAATAATTATAGGCCACTCACTCTAACCAGACTATGAAGTACAATGACTGAGATAAATGGAGAAAGGGGAATTCCTACTCATTATATTAGTATATCACAATCATCAAAAAATATATTATAATGGCAGATAGCAGGCTAGATTTTCAACAGAGCTCTGGTTCCAACTCTTCCCATTCAAGACACCTTCATGAAGTCACCAGTTTGAGCACAAATGTGGTTGCCAAGGCCTTAAAACATGTGGCTCCATGGGTCTACAAATGTTTTCATACTCTTGTCATCGCAGTTTAATTATTGGAAACATTTCCAGGACTGTGGCTCAGCCACTGTCTCTGTGGGTACCAGATGTGCCCTCAAAATTTACATTTACAAATCTCAGTATTTGAGCTGCTGTCGGATTTACCCCTGTAAGGGCTACTAGGGGGCAATGAGGGCTCCAGATTAGGCCTTGCTGTATTTACACATGGATTGGAATTGCATCTTTGTTGTTCTTTCCCAATGCCACAATCCATGGGGACTACTGAGAAATGGTAAATCAGAAGCCTTCATAAGACATCGACTTCACTTCTGCTAGCTAAGGTCATATTGTTCTTGAATCATCCAGTGGATTGGCCACGACTGAGTTGTGGATAAGAATGAAGAGTGGCAGGTAAGTCAAGAAATCAAGAAGATCTAGTTCCTGGATGTGTCGCAGTTCTCTCTGCACGGCTTTCTTGTGTTCTTCACTTATCCCTCCAGCCTTTAGCTCTACCAAAAGTTGATCCACTGTGATGCTGCTGGAGTGAGAGCCAATATTGCACAGAAATAATTGCTGGAAAACAATAAGGAGGTTATTGTTCTTACTGCCAGTTTCCTTTCATTTGCAGGGTGTTTTCCCCCCCTCTTGTAATTGTCACTAACAGTGTCAGCTCCCTGTCAAATAGTATGGGGGCAATCTCTGGGTCTTGCTCGGTGCTGCTGAGGATGCTAAGAAAGGCAAAGATTACTATAAATCATTTCCCCCCTCCCTTAATCCTGGGGACAGCCACTGACCAAGCTGCCCCTCCAAATAACTATAGGGATGTTCTAATGTACACTGGCTAGAATGATCCGCTAAGGACCATGCTTTGCCATCTGGAGAGCAGAACATTCTTCTTCTGCTCCACTCCCCTCAGCCTACATCACACCGCTTCCCACAATGGAATACCCTGGCCCTGCCCAAAGCAGGACCTGAAATCCTCTGTGTCAGGTGGGGCTGGTGCAAAGTTAGCTCTGCCAGCTGTACACCAACCTGGGGTCTCGCTCACCCCTGGAAACTACATCAGTCTAGTTAGGGCGGATTCAAAATCCATTTGTACTGCTCTGCTGAAACAATTTGACCTTACCAGGGGTAGAGGCTGTGGTCATTTTAAAAATATATTATAATGGCAGATAGCAGGTTAGATTTTCAACAGAGCTCTGGATCCCACTCTTATGCAGTAATATCTTGTGTCAATACCAAAGACCAACCATTTTAGTCCCATTGATGGGCTACATGTAATAATACTTCCTATTAGCATCTGCACTTTTCAAAATAGAATGGAAAATCACTCTCTGGGTGTGTCTAGACTACAGGGTTTTGTCGACAAAAGTGGACTTTTGTCGACAAAACTATACCTGCGTCCACACTGCCTTTGAGTTATGTCGACATAACGTCGACAAAACTCAGCAGTTTTGTCGACGTATGTAAACCTCATTCTACGAGGAATAACGCCTTTTGTTGTGTGGAAGAAAACAAGCCTTCACTCTGCGTTTGTAAGCAACAAGTAGCCAGAGGCAGTTTTATTACGAGCTGCAGCAAGGGAAAAACTGGTTCGGATGGGGGGAAGCCCCCCTTCCGAGGCAGATCTTCGAATACAAGCAATTGTGAAGCAGTTTATATACTGTCTATTAGATATAATAACAATAACAATTAGTCTCCTTCCCATTACAAATACCAATGGTTAACAGTTATTTAGTTCCACCCAGATGCTCCTTATCTCAAGGTCCCTGCCAGAGTCAGCATTCTATCCTTATCTCTAAATAGAGGCGAGAGGCAAAGGCAGCGTCTAATTACAGATCTTGCGTTGTCAGGCCACAGACTTAGCCTGACTCTTGCTCTCTTGTTAACAAGACCAAGATGGCTGCACACAAATTCTCTTATTCTCTTTTCCTGCCTCCACAGTTGACAGAGTTCTGTCGATAGAAGGCATTATTGCATCTACACTGTTCTTTGCGTCCACACTGTTATGTCGACAAAGTGGCTTGCTTTGTCAACAGAACTGGATGTAGTCTAGACGCTCTTTGTCGACAGAAGTTTTGTCGACAGATACAGGCAGTCCCCGACTTATGCGGATCCGACTTATGTCGGATCCGCAGTTACAAACGCGGCTTTTCTCACCCCAGAGGACATGGTCTGCGGGACCTCGTGGTCCCGCCGCCCGTGTACTCCGGGGCGAGAAAAGCTGCTCCGCGTCTCCCTGGTCAGTTTCAGCAGCAGCTGACTTGGGGACGCCTGGGTTTCTTAAGTTGAATCTGTATGTAAGTCAGAACTGGCGTCCAGATTCAGCCACGGTTAAAACTGATCAGTTTCAGCAGCGGCTGACTTGGGGACGCCTGGGGCAGAGCAGCTGGGGTGCTGCTGGGTTGCTCCAGTAGCGCCAAGGAGCCGCGCTACTGGAGCAACCCAGCAGCACCCCAGCTGCTCTGCCCCAGGCGTCCCCAAGTCAGCTGCTGCTGAAACTGACCAGGGAGACGCGGAGCAGCTTTTCTCGCCCCGGAGTACACGGGCGGCGGGACCACGAGGTCCCGCAGACCATGTCCTCTGGGGTGAGAAAAGCCGCGTTTGTAACTGCGGATCCGACATAAGTCGGATCCGCATAAGTCGGGGACTGCCTGTATCTGTCGACAAAACTTCTGTCGACAAAACCCTGTAGTCTAGACGTACCCTCTCTGTCTTTCTTTGTTTGAGGAAACATGGACACTGGAACTGTCTTGAAGAGCAGCACAAGAGAGCTGAGGATGCCACTCAGGGTAGCAGTGGGTAGCAGCAGGCACATCACTGGTGGGATAGGAAGTCTGAGAGCCAGACTGTTGGTGTGTAATGGCATTTTACCTTCAAGCAAGAGCAATTTGTTGGTGTCTGCTTTTACCAGTCTACTTGCGCAGTTGACAACAGCACAGGAGCAAGGATTCTGGGAGTCTAGCTAAGTCCCTAACCCATAGACCATGCTCCCTCAAATACTATCGACAGATCCTGCCTTGCTATTTCTAGGATGGCCACCCTGTTGGCCAACGCACTGAGGATCAAATCAGGGACCTTCAGAGCTAAACGCATAAACTGCTACAGCTGTGGCCAAAGTCTGACAGCTACCGGGCTGGCAAAACAGATACTGTCGACAAAGCTTCTGTCGACAAAGAGCATCTAGACTACATCCAGTTCTGTCGACAAAGCAAGACGCTTTGTCGACATGAGAGTGTAGATGCAAAGGACAGTGTAGATGCAATAACGCCTACTGTCGACAGAACTCTGTCAACAAAAGGTTTTATTCCTCGTAGAATGAGGTTTACAACTGTCGACAAAACTGCTGAGTTCTGTCAATGTTATGTCAACAGAACTCATCGGCAGTGTAGATGCAGGTATAGTTTTGTTGACAAAAGTCCACTTTTGTCACCAAAACCCTGTAGTCTAGACATACCCCTAGAGACATTCTGAGATACCTAATGCATGTTCCATAGCTCTTGATCACTCCTTCAGACCCATAATGAATTCCTCCCCTGCCAATAACATGCACATACACAGTTATACTACTTTCAAAAACAGATAGGTGCAAATTCATCCCTAAAGTTACCCTCTGGAATCACAAGTTCACTTCTGCTACCTGCTGTGTAGTACAAGGTCCTCTGGGTTGATCATTATTTGTATTATGGTATCATTTTGGGCCCATCCAAGATCAGGGCCCCCTACCCCTGACAAACACATACTACAAACACAGAGTGAAAGAGTTCCTGACTCAAAGAGCTGAAAAACTAAACAGAAAAGATAAACAGTGGGAAAAAGGAGGAGTATCATCCCCAGATTTCAGATAGGGAACCTAGGCACAAAGGGTACGTCTACACTACAGCGCTAGTTCGAACTAACTTTAATAGGTGCTACACTAGCGCTCCGCTAGTTCGATTCAAATTCGAACTAGCGGAGCGCTAGTGTAGCACCTATTAAAGTTAGTTCGAACTAACGTCCGTTAGTTCGAACTAACTTTAATAGGTGCTACACTAGCGCTCCGCTAGTTCGATTCAAATTCGAACTAGCGGAGCGCTAGTGTAGCACCTATTAAAGTTAGTTCGAACTAACGTCCGTTAGTTCGAACTAACTTTAATAGGTGCTACACTAGCGCTCCGCTAGTTCGATTCAAATTCGAACTAGCGGAGCGCTAGTGTAGCACCTATTAAAGTTAGTTCGAACTAACGTCCGTTAGTTCGAACTAACTTTAATAGGTGCTACACTAGCGCTCCGCTAGTTCGATTCAAATTCGAACTAGCGGAGCGCTAGTGTAGCACCTATTAAAGTTAGTTCGAACTAACGTCCGTTAGTTCGAACTAACTTTAATAGGTGCTACACTAGCGCTCCGCTAGTTCGATTCAAATTCGAACTAGCGGAGCGCTAGTGTAGCACCTATTAAAGTTAGTTCGAACTAACGTCCGTTAGTTCGAACTAACTTTAATAGGTGCTACACTAGCGCTCCGCTAGTTCGATTCAAATTCGAACTAGCGGAGCGCTAGTGTAGCACCTATTAAAGTTAGTTCGAACTAACGTCCGTTAGTTCGAACTAACTTTAATAGGTGCTACACTAGCGCTCCGCTAGTTCGATTCAAATTCGAACTAGCGGAGCGCTAGTGTAGCACCTATTAAAGTTAGTTCGAACTAACGTCCGTTAGTTCGAACTAACTTTAATAGGTGCTACACTAGCGCTCCGCTAGTTCGATTCAAATTCGAACTAGCGGAGCGCTAGTGTAGCACCTATTAAAGTTAGTTCGAACTAACGTCCGTTAGTTCGAACTAACTTTAATAGGTGCTACACTAGCGCTCCGCTAGTTCGATTCAAATTCGAACTAGCGGAGCGCTAGTGTAGCACCTATTAAAGTTAGTTCGAACTAACGTCCGTTAGTTCGAACTAACTTTAATAGGTGCTACACTAGCGCTCCGCTAGTTCGATTCAAATTCGAACTAGCGGAGCGCTAGTGTAGCACCTATTAAAGTTAGTTCGAACTAACGTCCGTTAGTTCGAACTAACTTTAATAGGTGCTACACTAGCGCTCCGCTAGTTCGATTCAAATTCGAACTAGCGGAGCGCTAGTGTAGCACCTATTAAAGTTAGTTCGAACTAACGTCCGTTAGTTCGAACTAACTTTAATAGGTGCTACACTAGCGCTCCGCTAGTTCGATTCAAATTCGAACTAGCGGAGCGCTAGTGTAGCACCTATTAAAGTTAGTTCGAACTAACGTCCGTTAGTTCGAACTAACTTTAATAGGTGCTACACTAGCGCTCCGCTAGTTCGATTCAAATTCGAACTAGCGGAGCGCTAGTGTAGCACCTATTAAAGTTAGTTCGAACTAACGTCCGTTAGTTCGAACTAACTTTAATAGGTGCTACACTAGCGCTCCGCTAGTTCGATTCAAATTCGAACTAGCGGAGCGCTAGTGTAGCACCTATTAAAGTTAGTTCGAACTAACGTCCGTTAGTTCGAACTAACTTTAATAGGTGCTACACTAGCGCTCCGCTAGTTCGATTCAAATTCGAACTAGCGGAGCGCTAG